GGGGGGGGGGGGGGGGGGGGGGGGGGGGGGGGGGGGGGGGGGGGTGCCCACCGGCGGACCCCGGGACCCTCGCCAGGGCCCCGGGGCCGGGGCTCGACAACCCTGCCTGGGACTTCCCAAGCATTTCCATGGCCACCGGTTAAGTGGCAGGTACACGTGGGGTTACCATTGGCGAGCTGGTGGTTTGGAGTCCTTGAGGAAGGCAATTTAGGCCTCAATGGCAGTAACGAGTGCATGCATCTGTTAGGAATACAGTTTTCATTTTTCTGCAAAAAGCATAACAGATTTCAGTCTACGCCAGCCTGTTTATGCGTACGAATCCGTACATCTAGGCCTAAGACCTCCTCCGCGCTTGCAAGGATTCGAACCGTTGACCTTGGCCTCAAGAGCCAAGTCTCTTAACCACTACAGCCAGGACATGGTGTTCAAAAAGTGGAACCGTACTGGTCTTGATATCAACCCCCGCCTACAAGGCTGTACTGTCCAACTCAACACACACCACACTCAACACCAATGGACATGGCAATTCTCGCACGCTTCACTCCGATCAGCACGCAACCTCCACTAGCACTTAGCCCGGTCACTTCTGCAGACTTATTTGAACTGTCTGCCAGTTCCCAGTAGCATTCCATGGCTTATGGATCCGTACATCTAGGCCTAAGACCTCCTCCATGCAAGCATGGATTCGAACCGGCGACCTCGGATCATCTGGGCCTAAGATCTCCTCTGTGCAAGCACGGATTCGAACCGGCGACCTCGGCCTCAAGAGCCGTCTCTTAACCACTGAGATGTCATGGTTGTGACTCCGATCAGCACGCAACCTCCACTAGCACTTAGTCCGGTCACTTCTGCAGACTTATTTGAACTGCCTGCCAGTTCCCAGTAGCATTCCATGGCTTATGGATCCGTACATCTAGGCCTAAGAGACCGGCGACCTCGGCCTCAAGAGCCGTCTCTTAACCACTGAGATGTCATGGTTGTGACTGTCTTAGCAGATGATGTTATATTAGTAATCTGCAAAGCGACTGCTCTCAGTCTCTTTTTCCCTTGTACCTTTTTGAATGCGGTTTCCTCTTTTTTTTGCAAGAGAAGTCGCCAGGGCCATACGCTCAAAACTGAAGTTAACGAGCTGACAGAGTCTCTCCTTTCTTTAGAAAATTGACTGGTGCAATGAACTCAGTTCACATTCAGCACAGACATATGCCGGGGTTGTAGCACTTCGTCCACGTCTAGATTCGGGGCGCCGATGCTTGGAGGCCTGATGAGGAGCTGTGAACTCCTGGCTATGGTAGAGATCCTCCCTGGTAATGGTGCTCGACTTCTTGCCATAGGTGGAGGGAGCCTGGTAGCTATGGCTCTGCACTCCTTGTTTCTCAGGCTGAAACGCATGCCTGCCATAGGGCACCTTCGAGACATAAGAACATACTTCGGAGCGGACATCATCAGACGAACTTGCAGGAGAAGTCCTAGGAGAGATCTTCACTCACTTGCGCTCTTGTCTCTTGGTGGAAGCGAGCAGCAGGGGGTGAAATCATTGTTATCTTGCCATGTAGAAGGTTGTGAAGTGGAATGTATATTATAATATTATTATTGTATATAATGCATTAACAAATGGAATAAGAATTCTGTTAGTTATTAAAAAAAAATCAATTAGGAATAAAGTTTAATAACAATAAAATAGCTAGTAGCCTAGTATTAATGAGGAAATCTATCAAATAAATTATTGTCATTTATACACTTTGTTTTTCATTATCAATAGGGCACCCTATGTAATTCTCGGTGAGCTTGTTTTTTTTTTGTTGTTGTTGGGGATAAGTAATAGAGTAGGAGGTTTAAGGAATGGGAAGCGAGGAGGAGGAGGAGGAGGGGGAGAAGGAGGAGGAGGAGAGAGTCCTTATGATCTTCATCGAATATGTTGTTGAATCTAGCTCTTTCTCTTTCATTTGACTGTTCAGACTCTCTTTCTGGAAGAATGTGCTGCTGAACTTGTCATTTGGCGGATCGTAATATGCTTCTTCTTTTCATCAATAAATGGCCTAGGATCATGACATGAATGTCTCTTCCCCAAATGCTTCAGCTCATATAAGCAAATGTTAAAGATGCCTGCAATAAAGGGTGCCGCCACCCACGCAACGAAACCACTCCCGGTGTTCAAACCCCTAACCTCTTCAGATAGCGTTGACCCAAGAGCTCGCCTCCGACTGACATGTGGTGGAAAAGGAAGGGGATTCTCCTTTGATTTTATAATAATGTGCATGCCACAGCCTCACTCTGTTGTGGGAGCTGTATCGCAATTCAGTTTTCTTTTTTCTTTTTTTTTCCCCACTTTTCATGGGTAATGATGGGTTGGTAATATGACAATGATGAGGATGGGAACCCTCACGTCAGGGAATCGAGGATTATAGAGCCCAATTTTTCTTAAGGCTGTGACCCGAAAACAGATATGTCAGTGAATCCGAGTTGTTCCGTGGTTTTGCACTTCAACATCTACCTGGACTCCTTCCCACAGTCTTTTTTTTTTTCTTTCCCCTTCTCCACAGTCTTGAATTCTTGAGTTCTTACCCCTCTTCTGTGCCTGATGGTCTCCTTTCTAATGACTTCTGAGTTCTTACCTCTCTTCTGTGCCTGATGGTCTCCTTTCTAATGACTTCTGTATTATTAGTTTTCCTGCATCTCAACTTTTGTCACTTCACAATCCACTGACCCCGCTCGCACGCGCGCGCGCGCGCGCGCGTGTGTGTGTGTGTATGTGTGTGTGCATCTGTGTGTGTGTGTGTGTGTGTGTGTGTGTGTGTGTGTGTGTGTGTG